GAAACCGGGGGATGTGTATCAACAAGAGACAGTGAGAAAGGTTTACGCGGGGTCTTAATCTGAAAAGAATCCTTGCAACGGGTCCCTACTGCACGTCTGCGCCTGTGTCTCCGTTGTGCTGTATCCTGGACGGGTGTAGCACGTGCTTCATCTGTAAAAGAGAAGGACTTAGTTTCTAAGAAATATCGTGCAAAAAGTGTATCAAAATAAAGTATAATTTGGAAGATGAAGAAAGTTGAGCTTTATTGGCTTTCATCATTTATGCGCGCGCCCCCCTAAAAAATGGGGGGTATGCGGCTGGGAAGCCCCTTGTTAAGTTATGCCGGACTCGTCTGACCATGTCCGAGGTTTAAATGACCTGTTTTTAGGGGCTTTGACCTGCAAGGTCGGAATAATGTGTGGCTGTCGAGGCAGCCGCACATTCTCCGTGGTCGAGAGACACCTGGAGTTTTAAGAATATGCCATGTGGACCGGGCATTTTTAAGCGTAAGAGACGCGTAATGTGATATTGCATTAAAGCGGATGAAAGCTGCACGCCCTAGTGGTGCTTAAGGGCTACTGCTAAATGGGGCGATGGAGAGTGAGCTTTTCGCGACGGAGGTTGTCGGATGAACCGAACACGACCTCTAGTGGTACAGAGCCTGTAAAATTGGCTAAAAAGGCCTGGCGTCACTCCTTTAAAGGAAGTGCTGCTATAGCGAATTTTGGTGGGTTCTATCCCCAGTCTGCGGACGGTGTCCTGGTATAGCAGGGGCCGCGCTGCGTGTTATCACATGAAGTGAGTTCACAGTTTTGACTTCTAATGGGAAAGTCTTTTGGTTTCCGGAGTGCTGCTTTTGGGTTTCGTCACTCTCACTTGGTGTGTCGAGCCCTTTGTGTTCGGCGTTAAGTCGGCCAGACTGCTTGAAGACCCAACAATCTCTGTGGGTATGGTTTGCAGGCTTCCCGGAGGTACTGTGTATTTGACACAGTCTATCCAGAATCTTGTTTAGGTTGGATAGCTCGTCACTGTTATCCTTTAGGGGCAGTGTTTTGTTGTTCGGCCGAGAGCTTTTGAATCCGGCATTGACCGCCGTACTATTTGGGCCATTTTCCTTATTCCAGCGCTGATCTTTTTTGCGTCGTGATTTCCCATTTCCATCCCTGATTTCGGATGTACTCGGGTCGCCGGTGCTGCATCTAGCCAACCAGCTGTCTTCCCCCGCGCAAAAGCGGGTCATGAGACTTGTTAGTGCGGCCATTGTTCTTGGTTTTTCCTGACCGAGGTGTCTGGCGAGCCATTCGTCTCGGACGTTGTGTTTAAAGGCTGCTAAGGCTTCAGCGTCCGGACAGTCGACTATTTGGTTCCTTTTAGTGAGGAACCTGTTCCAGAATTTGCGTGCTGATTCTCCGGGCTGTTGAGTTATGTGACTTAAATCATCTACATCCGGAGGCCGGACATAAGTCCCCTGAAAATTTGCTCGAAACGCATCCTCAAGCTCTTCCCAACTTCCAATCGTATTTTCTGGGAGGCTTTTAAGCCAATGCCGGGCCGGCCCTTTGAGCTTGAGGGGTAGGTATTTTATGGCATGGAGATCGTCTCCTCTTGCCATGTGTATGTGTAGGATATAATCCTCAATCCAGACTCCGGGGTCTGTTGTTCCGTCGTATGCCTCTATGTTTATGGGTTTAAATCCCGCTGGAAATCCATGATCCAGTACCTCGTCGGTAAAACATAGTGGGTGTGCGGCGCCCCTGTATTTGGGTGTGTCATTGTCTTCAAATGCTCGGCTGGTTGTGTTACTTCCCGGAGTCTTCTTTTTTGGCCCATAGATAGACCTGGCCGGGTTATCCTTTTTCTGAGGATCTTTATGATGATCATGTGCCGGCTTGTGTGTGGCGCCCCGTGTTGCTCTTGGCCTGTCATCTGGTCGTCTATCCGGCCAGGCGGCCCCTTTCTTTTTTGACTGTGGGGGCTCGAAGGCTTCCTCGTCAAATTCGGGCAACAACTTGCGCTTCGGGTAGCTCTTTGTCTGGTGACTACTGCCATATTTATCTGCGGTGTTGAGTACTTTGCTCCATCTCATTCTGAGTGCGTCTTCCGCTGTTTTGAGCTTCCGCTTTTGCTTCTTCAAACTTCTTGCAGTGGCGACGAGCCTTTTATGAAGATTCATATGCTCTGGTGATGTGAGATCATCTTCGCCGGGGATGGGTTGCTTGTCCGGTTCATGTCCGGCTGGCTGCTTGTTGACGTGTGCGTCGTCCACTGATTCGCCATGCTCTAGGGTCGGGTCCATATGGGTGCCGTTTTTATCGATGCCGGTCTTCAGGCGGCGCTTGCATTGCCGCTTTGTTTGTTTGTTGGGGGAGTTGTCCTTCGCCACGTCCCGTTTTTCCTCATTGTCGCTTCCTTTTGGTGTGTCCACCATGTATACGTTGTGGGCTGGGGTGGCTTTCCTGCGCCCGTTAGGCGCTGGTTCTTGGTCGTCTCCGGCATCGTCGTCCATACCGTCGATGTCCTCGGAGTCGTAGTCTAGCATGTCAGTTAAATCATCAACATCGGCTACCAAGTGGGTGGTGGGTGGGCTTTGAATTTCTTCGTCGTCCGCATCCCAACCGTCCTGACCACTGTCCGGCTAGGGCTCTCCTGATAACGAGAGATATTTTAGCGAACTCAAGATGTCGCCGAAAGGTGAGTATTGAAAGACGTCCGCTGCGGTGAACTCCATAATTGGCGCCCAATCGGATTCGATCAGGGCGGGCGCGGGAGGTTCGGAGTCCGGCGAGGAGTCCGGCACCTCGGAGTCATGAGCTTTATGAGGGACAAAGTCAGTGTTCGGCTCTATCGCCGTAGAGGTTGCAGCCCCCGAGGCGGTGTCTAGGCATCCATCCTCGATCTGCGGAGCTGGCTCCGAATTGAAGATCGGAGCGGTTTTGAGTGCGGCCTCCAAGGTACTGTCCGGCTGCAGAGCTAAATCATGCTCGCCGCGACAGTGCGGCACGCTCGGCTGTGGCTCGAACCCATCGAGGATCAAGTCCCCGCGGATGTCAGCCGTGAAGTTCAAACTTCCAAACCTGACCTGACGGCCAGGGGCGTAGCCTTCGATCTGCTCCAGTTGGCCAAGCGAATTGGCCCGCAGTGCAAAGCCGCCGAATACGAAGATTTGTCCGGGGAGGAAGGTCTCACCCTGGACTGCGTCGTTGATGGTGATTGAAGAAGCCATCGAGCCTATCGGTGACGACACAGAGGAACTCTCAATGAAAGCACTAATGTCGGTGTCAAAACCGGCGGATCTCGAGTAGGGGGTCCCGAACTGTGCGTCTAGGCGGATGGCAACAGGAGACGAGGGACACGATGTTTTTACCCAGGTTCAGGCCCTCTTGATGGAGGTAAAACCCTACGTCCTGCTTGATTAATATTGATGATGTGGGTTACAAGAGTAGATCTACCACGAGATCAAGGAGGCTAAACCCTAGAAGCTAGCCTATGGTATGATTGTTGTTCGTCCTATGGACTAGGGCCATCCGGTTTATATAGACACCGAAGAGGGCTAGGGTTACACAGAGTCGGTTACAAAGGTAGGAGATCTTCATATCCGCATCGCCAAGCTTGCCTTCCACGCCAAGGAAAGTTCCATCCGGACACGGGACGAAGTCTTCAATCTTATATCTTCATAGTCTTGGAGTCCGGCCGATAATGATAGTTCGGCTATCCGGACACCCCCTAGTCCGGAACTCCCTCAGCCGCCGCTTCGGCAACCACCATGCTCGACGCAGAAGAAAACAGGACGCACCAAGCACAAGCTAGCTCTCTCAAGCAACGCCCGTAAGGGGGAAACGACAAAAACGCCGCCATCGCTCGCTCCCAAAACCAACCGAAACTTAGGATGTGTTTGGTTCGATACTTTTTACCCGTTATCCGATTACACCGTAACCTGATTCCGTTAAACATGTTTGGTTGACTCAGCCCGTAAACGCATACCCCGCAAACAAATTACAGCCCAACTTAAAACCAATACCGCCCAACCCCCACTGAAAACAGATCGTGTTGCCAGGCGGAAAGCTTCGAACAAATCTGGCGAGTGTCGACGACCCGAGCAGAACCTCCGCCACCGACGTCTCCCCCGATTTAGCGCCAGCGCAGGTGGCGGGTGCCAATCTCCTTGACTCGCCGGCGCTGCCGGCGGTGGACGCCTTGATCTGACCCTCGATTTCCTCAGACTCACGAGCAGACACCATTGGTGGATCAGAGCATCGTCGCCTGAAGAACAACAACCAAACAAGATGAGCAAAACCCCATTACGTCCCAGTCCCACCGTAAGCTGATTCCCTTACCATTTACGTTACCGCTGTTGCAAACAAACACATCCTTAGTCTTTCACCCGGAAAGCCCATACCACTCGTAGAGGAAGAGTTTCATGACGACGCCCCAAGAAGTAAAACGGCGCCCGGAAATGCAATCGTCAACGGCACCGACATTACATTAAAGCGGGTCATTTTGGCTGAGGCAAAACAAAGATGAGGCGTTTTGTCAGTCCAACGGAGGATAAGGACGGAACCCGTACCTACACTTTGCTAAAAAATACTCCCTCCGTTCGGGATTACTTGTCGCGAAAATGGATGTATCTAGATGTATTTTAGTTCTAGATACATCCATTTCTAAGACAAATAATTCCAAACGGAGGGATTACTTTTGCAAGAAACATATCAGGATCCTCTCACTTAACGTACATGCACCAATCTTGATGCAATCTTGTAGCGCTCTGCGTGCTCTGGCCACCTGCACGCTGTGTGTAGAAGCTCACAGGTAGCTCTGCTCCTCCAGGACACTGCGCCACGCGTCCAGCCATACGCGACGTGTCATGCCAGCCTCAGACTCCCACTTCATGCAGCGAAGCTCCTCGAGCGCCTCTCTCTCGACTCATTCTCACGGTCGTCACCAGCTATCGATTCGCAACACAGCCGTCAAGCCCAGCCCCGAGGAAGGAAGGAAGGAAAGGAAGGAATAGGTCGGCGCCGCCATGGAGATGCTGAGCATGCTGAAGGTGGGGTACACGGTGCTGCGCAGCGAGACGCCGGCGACGGACCTCGTCAACACCTTCATGGACTGGGCGGCTCGCCGGTCGCTCCTCCTTCTGGCGCTCTTCATGCCCCCCTACTACGTCTACAAGCTCACCGCGTCGGCCGCCGCCACCGTCGCGCCGCAGGACGTCGCGGGGAAGGTCGTGCTCGTCACGGGCGCCTCCTCCGGCATCGGCGAGGTACGGATAACGGAGATTCTCGATCAGGGTTGCCCTTATTCGAGGAAGTCGTGTTGATCAGATATAGTAGTATATTCCTGGCTTCCGATTAACTTGACTTGCTGCGTGCGCGTTCAGCAAATAGCTTACCAGTACGCGAAGAAGGGAGCGAGGCTGGCCCTGGTGGCACGGAGGGAGGGAAGCCTGCGCGAGGTCGCCGCCAAGGCGACCGATCTCGGCTCGCCGGACGTGCTCGTTGTGCCCGGGGACGTGGCGAGGCCGGAGGACTGTAAGGCGTTCGTCCAGGCCACAGTCGAGCGCTTTGGCCGGTGTAAGTAACGTGCCACCTGCTATTTACTGCATACCTTGATAGCACATCGATCGTGTACACATATCGATATGCTCGAGTCACTGTAACTTGGTCAAGTGGTTTGATTGCAGTGGATCATCTCGTGAACAATGCCGGTCTGGTCAACGTGTGCTGGTTCGAGGAGATGCCCGACGTCGCCACTTTCAAGCAAGTCTTGGTACTGCTCCGTCCTTGGTTCTCTACCCACCTTATTTACCCCTCTGCTCTTGTGCTTCTCTGCTCCTCAATTTATAAATGCAATTCTATATACTGTAAAGAGTATAATTGTATACCATCTCCTTCCATGATGCTCATATATGTTGGTGTTGTGCTGCAGGACGTGAACTTCTGGGGCACGGTGCATCCAACCCACGCCGCTCTTCCTCACCTGACGAGGAGCCGCGGCAAGATCTTCGTCAACTCCTCGGCCGCGGCGGTGCTGGCAATGCCTAGGATGAGCTTCTACAATGTACTAAATACAAATCCCTCCAGCATTGCAGTTCCTTCTCCCTTCCTAGTTTGCGGACCTGTGTGTGTGCGCGCGTGTTTTAAGCTCGACTTATGCGTGTTATGTGGCATTGCAGGCTAGCAAGGCTGCCGTGCTGAGCTTCGCCGACACCCTGCGGATGGAGCTCGGCGACGAGGTGGGCGTCACGGTGGCGACGCCCGGATGGATCGAGTCCGAGATGACCAAGGGGAAGCACCTCTCCAAAGGAGGGAGAGTCGAGGTCGATCAAGACACGAGGGATGTGAGTTTGTTGCACGACACGGAATACACAATTGATTTGATTCTGTAGAAGTTGTCGCCATTTACAGAATCAAACCATGCTCATGCTTGATTTTGCATCTGCAAACGCAGGCTCAGGTGGGGCTGTTTCCGGTGGTGCGTGCCGAGCGGTGCGCCGAGGCCATCGTGGACGCCGTTTGCCGCGGCCGGCGCAGCGTCACCGTGCCGCTGTGGTACCGGGCGCTGTTCCTCTGGCGGTCGTTGGCGCCGGAGGTGGGCGACGTCCTGCAACGCGTGTTCTACCGCCGGAGCTCCGGCGACGGGGGCAGGCAGATGAGGGCGAGGAGGGTCCTGGAGGTCACGGGCGCCAAGCGCGTGCTGCAGCCGCCGTCGCTGCACACCTCGGATATCAAACGGGAGTAGATGCTACGTGAATAAATGAATGTTCCGGTGTCGTACTGCAAAGAAAATAAGATAGAATGGCGAGGTGTAGATGGATGGTTTGTGTAAATTTAAGTTGCGTTCGAACTAAGTATGATTTTGTTTCTACCTGCAAAACTCTCTTCTTTTGAATCTCTCAGCAACCACCCAACAAGAAAACACCGTTCTTTTGAATGGAAGTCCTCGCGCTCCGTATTTAGAAAGAAGATTTGTTCACAGCGCTGCAAATGGATGGGTGTGCATTCGAAACTGAAACAGAGCACCTCGCACACACACAAAAAAAAAACTGAAAAGAAAAACTTAAACGGAGCATACAACGGGCTTCTTTTCCAATCGACGATGCTCACGTTAATAGTAGTTCTGTGTGCATGCGGCCGCCCAGATAACTAAAACGACCGCACGAAACGCAGTCGCCACATGGCCCCCGCCCCGGCACGTAGCAGCTGAGATGGCAGTCCGCATGCCCTCTCGCCTCTCCACGCGTCTCCTGCACCGCACCGCGCCCAAAGGAGGATCCTGCCAGCTGCAGGCATATATGCAACGCTGGTGCCCCAGGTCCACCGTCGTAGGGATACACACACTGCAAAAAAATACCTGTCGTCAAGGACGCCGATGACGATGCTGATGGGCAGGCTGACCGGCGTAGCGCTGGAGCTGGCTCTCGCCGCCCTGCTCGTGCTCTTCCTCCCGCCCTACTACGTCTACAGGCTCACCGCCTCCTTCCTCGGCTCCGTCTTCCCCGACAGCGTCTCCGGCAAGGTCGTCCTCATCACCGGCGCCTCCTCTGGCATAGGCGAGGTATGCATACCTTACATTTATCGTGCATACGTCTCTCCAGGATGCATGCTTCACCTTTTCTATACGGTAGATTTTACTCCCTCCGTTCCGAATTACTTGTCTTAGATTTGTCTAGATACGGATGTATCTAGACTCATTTAGTGCTAGATACATCCGTATCTAGACAAATCCAAGACAAGTAATTCGGAACGGAGGGAGTAGCTAGTTTCTTGTTTGTGTCTGCAGCACCTGGCGTATGAGTACGCGAAGAGAGGAGCCAACCTGGCGCTCGTGGCGAGAAGGGAGGCGAGCCTCAGGGAGGTCGCCGACAACGCGTCGGCGCTCGGCTCGCCGAGCGTCCTTGTCTTGCCGGCTGACGTCTCCAAGCCTGACGACTGCCGAAAGTTCATCGACGACACGGTTGCCTACTTTGGAAGATGTAAGTCTGAGCTGAGTGGCATCTATATATGCTACCACAATCTGCAGCCAAATATCCATACATGAAATTTCTTGAAACAGAAGTGTGCATCCGGATCACCGGAACTGTCTTTTGACGCGCTTGATATTTGCAGTGGACCACTTGGTGAACAACGCGTCGATTTGGCAGGTCTGCAAGTTCGAAGAGGTGGAGGACGTTAACTACTTCAGAACATTGATGGTACAAAGCCACAGGCCGTTTTCACTTCCTCGCACAAATTTAGGGCATGAATCTGACCTTCTTCTGCACACCTAGGACATCAACTTCTGGGGCCATGTGTACCCAACTCGCTATGCCATTCCTCACCTGAAGAAAACCCATGGCCGGATCGTCGGTGTCACCTCCAACTCCTCCTACATATTCATCGGAAGGAACACCTTCTACAATGTCTGTACTCAGATGAGTCCCTTCCGCGCTTGCTAGCATAGTTGAAATGCACGGGTACAATGTGAAAATGTTGCTAATGTGAAATTACTGTCGTTTGCATGGCAGGCGAGCAAAGCAGCGGCGCTAAATTTTTACGACACGCTTCGGATGGAGCTCGGCGGGGAAGTCCGCATTACAGAGATCGTCCCAGGGGTGGTCGAGTCGGAGATCACAAAGGGGAAGATGCTCACCAAGGAAGGCGAGATGAAAGTTTGACCAAGACGAAAGAGATGTAACACGAGTTGCCACATGATATTATTGTTTGACCGCGGTAGCATCATATCATTTCATGTTGTTGATGTAGCTATGATTGTGATCATTGCAGGCGATCCTTGGGCCGACACCGGCGGAGCCTGTCGCCGCTTTCGCAAAGACGGCGGTGAAGGACGTGTGCCGGGGGCAGAGGTACGTGTTCGAGCCGAGGTGGTACATGGCGGTGTACCTGTTCAGGGTCTGCTTCCCGGAGATCCTGGCCTGGAGCTCCCGGCTCCTGACCGTGAAGACGCTAGGGCGCCCTGCAACGACCGACACCGTGGGAAGACAGATCCTCGACATGCCCGGGGTGCGCTGGTTCACCCAGACGGCGTCGCTGCGGTCGCCAGAGATTCGGGCCAGGTGAAATAAAGCTGGAGTTGCCCATTGTGATGTGGGAAGCCCACTCCGCTGTCTGGTACTCCCTCCGTTCCGAATTACTTGTCTTAGATTTGTCTAGATACGGATGTATCTAGACTCATTTAGTGCTAGATACATCCGTATCTAGACAAATCCAAGACAAGTAATTCGGAACGGAGGGAGTAGTAGTAAGATGAAAGCTTTGTCGAACTAAAACTGCTTGTGTACTATATGTCCCATGGTCTTTCCAAAATAAGTGTCTTAAGCTTAATATAAATTTGTGCTAGAGCTAGTATAAAGTTAAGACACTTATTTTGGGACGGAGGGAGTAACTCAGAGTGCAAAAGAACATTACAGTACTTTTTTCTTCTTCGTCTGAAATCCAGTGGACACATAGAAGACATCACTACTTGGTGCAATGTGCATGAAACTTCCACTTCTGAGTTGCCGAATTGGAAATTTTGGGGGTTGGGGGGTGGGGACATTCTTTCGGACAGAGGGAGCACAAACATTCTGGAACCAGGGGGCACGCATGCGGACCGAGTATCACAAAGGAGCATTACTCCGAGTGGAACTAGAGAGAACATGAAACCTCACAAAATAAAGTAATGCTACACACATAGGTTTACAAAGGTTTTACAGGTAGGTTGATTTTGGTTGAAGATTAAGGAGGAGGATTTTGATTGAAGATTAAGGAGAAGGGGCTCACCCTATTAAAAAGAAAGAATCCTAGTCAGCATGTAGCATGTAATTGCATGTACTTGTTGACTTCCATCACAGTTTAAAGACCGAAATACTCTACACAAACCCCTTTGCCATTAAGCTTAGACATACCTTCACAAACTTTGGTTCTCGCCGTATTGTATTTCCCTTAAGCAATTAATAGAAATGGGAAATGCCTGCTTGAAATGCAATAAAATAGTACCTACTCGTTTAGAGAAACAATGTGTTGGAGCAAAATAGCTTAGCCTGAGAAGGAAATGGTCATGCCAGGTCAACGACTTTTGCCATCGATAATAGCCCGGTAAGAAGTAATATTGTTCCTTTCAGTGGAACATACAAATTATATTTGGAAGAACAGTGGTTTGTACAGAGCGTGTAGAATTTTTCTTTAATAACAGCAGATTTCATCGTTCCATACAGTGATTGAAAATTTATGCCGATGCATGTTTCAGTTACTCTGGTTTTTGTTTACAATCTTATTGAAAAAATTCATGACGGCCAGGTGAATTCTTGAATTATCTTTTC